CCCCAAAAAAAAAAAAAAAAAAAAAAAAACACCCCCCCCCCCAAAAAAAAAAAAAAAAACACTCCAATTATATATGTGTATATGTCCAAAATTCCAAGAGAATGGAGAAGATGAGATTGTGGCATAACCATCTCCTAGGGGGTGCTTTCTCACTTTTTCTCTTTCCAGGGTGTTCCTTTTCATACCCCCTCTCCTCCAGTGAGCAAGTACACTCCATAGCAAATTTAAAAAATAGATATATGGGGGCCAATGGGTGGCATGGTAATTAAGGGCACTGGACTCCCACATGCCTGATCACAGTTCGAGTCCCAGACCTGGCAGCTTGCTTTGTCACTTTCCCTCTCTCTTTCTCTCTTACTCTGTCCCTCTCTGGTCAAATTAAAATAAATAAATATATAAAATAAAGTTAAGTAAAAAAATTATTGAAGAAAAAAAATATGACATAGTCAATTCCTAAGCTGACATTTTTTTTTTTTGGGGGGGGGGACTATTGCTATAGGGCACAGGTGCTTGCCAGACAGACAGAAAGCAAGAAATCATCTCCCGGGGTGGATGGCCACACTGCAGTTCTTCTCCAGCCTCCTCTTGGGATTTTTTTGGGAATGCATGCATACACATCTGGCATGAGTTTTTAAGCAGCCAGGACCAGGACTTGAACTGCAGTCAACTAACGTGGGAGTCCAGTGATGTAACCATTACACCATCTGCTGGTACCCATTACACCATCGCTGAATCCACTGAACTGACATTTTAAACATATATCCCATTTAAAAAAAAAAAGGCAACTAATGACACATCAATGCCTGATCAATCAGTTAATACTCAAAGATGTACAATACCTGAAAACTGAAGACAAAATAGCTGATATGCAAATTATAAATCATTACCTCGGTCTCAACTTCATATGGATGCCACCTACTTGGTGTAAAAATATTTAAACCTCAAATCACTTTCACGTATTCTGAAAAAAGGAATCACTTAGTTCTAAATAATAATTTACCTAAATAATAACTGACAATAGTTCTGTGGAGTAACTTCTAAGTTATACAGGAATCTAAACACAATCATCCCTCGAGATCCACAGAAGACTCGTTCTGGGAACCACCACCCAAGCCCTCAGATACCAAAATCTTTGGATACTCAAGTGCCTTAAAACGTGGTATAGTATTTACATAAAGCCAACACATATCCTCCCACATACTTTAAACCATCTCTAGAGTCTCTCTCTTTTTTTTTTTTTAAGAGAGATTTTTGCTATAGGGTGCGTACAGTGGCCAGAGATGGAGAGAGACAGATAGAAAGCGAGAGATCATCCCCACAGGGGGGGATAGTCATGTCGCAATCCCTTCTCTCAGGATTTTGGGCATGCATGGACACACATACATCCCTTCAGTTGTTTTTTGTTTGTTTGTTTGTTTGTTTGTTTTAAGAGAGACTTTTGCTACAGGGTGTGTGCACTAGCACTAGCCAGAGAGAGAGACACAGAGACAGAAAATAAGAAATCATCCCTGGGAAGGGGGTGACCTGCCACAATCCCTTCTCCTCCACTCTCCTTTCAGGATTTTGATATGCACATACACGTGCCTGGCTTGAGTTTTAAGTCACTGGGTCCAGGACTCGAAGCATGGTCGACTACGTGGAAATCCAGCGATGTAACCATTACACCATGTGCTGGTCCCACATCTCCAGGTTATTCTAAGTAACCTTAGTTAGATATAACTAAAAAGGAAAATACTCACATAAACCCCTCTAGCATCTACCTTTTATGAAGCCACTTCTTCCTCCATTTCAGAACAACTAGTGTGCCTCGCTTAATCAATAGCTGGTCAACTTTGGGGACGTAGAAGCCACAGATACAGCCACAAAACTGTATTTTTTTTTTTTTACTGATTAAAAAATATGTTGGACAAAACTGAGGTAGTTTCTTTATAACACGATAAGATCCACTTAGGGTGGAGGCCAACCAGCAGGTGGCGTGGTGGTTAAGGTGCTGGACATTCCCACATGGCTGATTGCAGTTCGAGTACTGGACCTGGTGGCTTGCTTTCTCACTTTCCCTCTCTCTCTCTCTGTATCTCTCTCTGGTCAAATTAAAATAAATGAATGAATAAAATTAAATAAATAATTATTAAAAAAAAAAAAGATCCACTTAGGGTGAACAACTACAAAAATTTCTAGAACACTTTATTTCAAGACATCATGACCTCTAAGGGAGAGAACAGAAAAAGTGAGAACTAGGGCTTTAGTTTTTGCTGTAATCTTATATTTCTGTAAGTAAAAACAGGAAGCAAAATATGCCTTTGTTGATGAAATGCACTAACTCTGGAGGTAGATCTTCTGGTTCTACACAATTCATTAGCTCTTTGTGACCTCAGGCAAGTTAATCTCCCTATGTCTCTGTTTCACATCTGTAAAATCTAGATAATATTACACCCTGCTGTATAGGATTAAATAAACAAGTGACCAGAATAGTAACTGACACATGGTAAAATGCTGTTATCATCAGCCTCACCATCTATGACTAGTAACTATGAAATTTGGTTGAAAGACACTGAGGATAAAGGGATTTGTGTGGGGTGTGGTATCTGATCTATTTTCTACACTCGCATTCAAACATAATTCTATTTTTGTAAACAGTGATACATAACCATTATAAATGAACAAGTTTAGAGAATCATTATAAAGTTAGTCTTCTCTTCAATTTTTAAAAACATGAGACAATACAGGCTTTGAAGTTTGATATTTATTTTTAGCAGGAAGAATATGCTAATGGTGATGACATCATTAGAAGATACGCCATGTCCAATATCTGCAACAAAAGCTCAACAGAAGTTAAAGAAACTATACCAAAAGAATAAAGACAAAAATTATATGACAATACTTACCCTCAATTCTGCAGACAATAAAACAATTAACAATGTTTAAGACTGAAGTGCTACCATAGGATTAAAAACTGGCAAGTTAACTGTTAAATTCATCTTCCTAAAACAATCCATCTTTACCTTTCCACACGTAAGTGGGCAATCTCTTCAAAGGCAGAGCACAGTACCAACAACTATCTGAGGGTGTTCACGTGGGCAGAGAAGGAGCAAACTAAAAGGGATAATGATCAGTTTAAGAATTGAGAGTCTGGGGTGGGAGTAATCACGAAGCTGGTCTCATAGGTAGCAATGCAATCTGATTTGGGGATCCTTTTTGGCACAATGAGAGAATGTTGAACTAAGAGCTAAACACCAATAAATGAAAGCAACTTAACAGAGGCTGTACCATGACATGTATGAAAATTTACAGTAACTGTCAATAAGAGGTCCAAACAAATGAGAAATTCTCCTAAAAACTATTAGAATAAGAACTGCTACAATGGTAAACAATTTAAACAATAATGTCAATTGAAAGATTATTTTAAGTTATACCATTCTGGCTCATCTACTCCTGGCAATTCCTACTCTGCTCAAAGAAAACACGATTTTTTTTGTCTTTTTTTTCTTTTTAATTATTGCTACCTCCTATATCCCCAGACTTCTCGACAACAGTATTAATCATTACTAAATTTAAAGGGGCAATGCCTTTCTACCTCAGGGTGTGAGCCAGGAAGGAGAATAGGAAAACGTTAAGCATTAGAAATCATGGGTGGAATAAGGAAGTAATTTGAAGGCTTGGTGGTATATCTAAAAGACTACATGTATTCAGAACAGAAATTAGATAACTGCAACCACAATTACAATTAAAAGCACACTTCATACCACTGCTACTTTCCTATTATTTTTGTGCTTAATGATAAAGGTTTAAATTGGTAAGCTAAATTATGATTGCATAGAAATTCACAGGAATCATTTTAATATGTAAGCAATTCTGCTCATTCCAAATTCTAAATTTATTTAGGCAATTTGATTTGGTGCAAGTATAAGAAACCCATTATTACAAGGAGCTTACCTGAGCCACTGCCTATAAAGGTCTACGTTGAAATAAAATGCAAAACATGCAGTTACATTAAGGTATTTAAAAATTCCTACCATTAAGTAAAATAAATAAATAAGCACTAAAGAAGGAAAAGATTACGCACTTCCAATTTATGCTCTTTCTCTGCAAGGGCTTCCTTTTGACAGCGAAGAAAATCTGCTAACATTCGAGTGAGTTGTTTCCTATCATCTATTTCTGCCGCCAATCTGCCATTGTAATCTGCCAGCAACATACAAGCATCCTCTACCATTTTAGAAAGCCTTTCTCCAGATTCTTTATCTAAGAAAAGCACAGGATAACAAAAAATAATTATACAGTAAAACAATGACACATGCTGTTTCCACACTCTGACTCCAAAAAAAGTTCAGGATCATATTTTCTCTTCTTACCTGTTATTTTATCTAGTAGGGATACTTCTTGGACTTCAACAGGCAAAGAAGCTATTCTCTGATGAACTGCTGCATCACCTGAAGCTGCATTTTCTAAATCTTGTAATGCTCTCACGAGATCTAGAGTCTGAAAAGTTAAAAAAACTTTATACCCAGAATAAAGAAGTTTAAGCAAACAAGTAAGATCTGAAATTTACATCATATCCCTTCATTTTTATGGGTTATTCACTAACATAAAGTTTCAAACATAAGCTATTTTTAAAGACTGTTCATGTCTCTTATATATTAACAAAAACAATCTACACTGTATTAGGGGTTGGAAATAAAAATAGGGCCAGGCCTTAAACCCTAGGGAACTAACACTCTAGTGGTGGAGACTGAACACGTAACAATTCTCTGATTATTTAAACGAGATAAGTAATGTATATGCCAAATACATGGATAATAACAGAGAGGCAGGCTATAACTTCAACCTAAAAAATAAAAAGTTTTAGGGCCAGTCAGTGGTGGTGTGGTAAAAGGCACCTAGATCCCACATGGCCACCTGTGCAGTTTGAGTCCAGGCCCAGCAGCTGGATAAATACACCAGGCACATGTGCATGAATACCCATAATCCTGAGAGGAGAAGGGAGGAGATGTGGTAGCAGTGTGGTCAACCCCCCCCAGGAGGGAAGGGGGATTGCTTTCTCACTTCTCTAAAATAATATTTTTTAAAGTTTCATGTATGATATATTTGTTATATTATGATTGCACATATGTAAAAATTTTTAATATTAAATTGCATGTTATAAGAAGGGGAATATAAAATATATTCTTTTTTTGAGAGATTTTTTGCTATAGGACACGTGTGCTCACTGGAGAGACAGAGACAGAACATGAGAAATCATCCCTCACGGGGATGGCCACATCTCAATTCCTTCTCCTCTATTCTCCTCTCAGGATTTTGGGCATGCACGCACACATGCCTGGTGTGAATTTCAAGCCAAAGAGTCTGGGTCTCTATAGACTATGTGAGTCCAGCACCTTAAACATGACACCACGTGCTGGTCCCCAAAACATATTCTAATAGAACATAAAAGATTCTCCCAGATTTCATTTCTAAATACAGGAATTAAAAACAAAAGCCAAATATACTTTTGGAGTATGTTCGACTATTACATCTGCGATCATCCTATGATATGTTTTGGGGTTTTTTGTTTGTTTGTTTTGTCGTTGTTTTGGGAGAGGTTTTTGCTATACAGCGCTTGCCAGAAAGACAAAGAGAGAGAGAGAGAGAGAGACAGAAAGAGAGAAATCACCCCCCAAAGGGAATGGCCACCCCGCAATCCCTTCTCCTCCATTATCCTCTTGGGATCTTGGGCACACACACACATGCACCTGGCATGAGTTTAAGCCACCAGGTCTGGGACTCAAACCACGGTCAACCACATGGGAGTTCAGCAACATAGCCATTACTTTATCTGCTGGTCCCCATCTTATGATAGGTTAATAAGATCACTGAAATACTCCAAAATAAAATCACTACAATATTCCAAATTTCTATATATCCGATGAGCAATATTTAGATATTATTTAATCAGTATACAAATTACATACATGATCATTAGGCCATTTTAATTGTAATGTTTTCCTAACAGCTATAGTGAGGAGAAAAAAGTCATTAGAATGTTTTAGTTACACTATTTTCTTAACAGCTATAATTAGGAGACATGAACAATTCTTTACTGATAATTTTATAAAGTCCATATTGTTATTTCTGAAGAAAAAGGATTACATTTTTTTTCTCTTTTGTCTTTTTTAATTTCTAAGACTAGACTGAAGGACACTAAGAAATTACATATACTTAAAAATACAAGGTATTATATAGTAAGATGACACTGACAGGAGCCAGGTGGCACAGTGGTTATGGTGCAGGTAAAAACACCATTTATAAAATGGATGGGGCTCTTGGCACAGAATGATCTGTCATGAGTTGTTGCCAAAGACAAAAAGACAAAAATCCTAGTGTTTGGGTATTTCGAACATAATGTTTTTATTACTTTTTCTTCTACTTCTTATCCATGATGACTTATGTATTTGAGCATTCCTGTCACTATACCAACACTGGCTCAGAACCTTCAGGTTTGATTCTACCACCTGAACATAAAGACTGATATAAATCCACAGTTCTACAGTAATTCTTTCTTTCAGACACCTACCATGAGTGAAAGTGCTCCTGTCAGCTTTGGTTACATGCAGTGAGTGTGAATCCAGTCTCCTAACTCCCAGAAAGCACTGTGGGTTCCTGTTATCGCCCTGGATACCCACAGCTGGCAGTACATGTATGCCTCTCAACCAGAGACCAGAAAGAACTAGGCTCTGGCCCACAGACTGAGTTGGGCTTCTGTACCACTTCTAGCTCATGAAGATGTATCTTGTTGTATAAGAGTACGGCTATGCCTTCATTTGCTGTTTTTTAAAACTTTCTGTCCTTTCTATATTCAAAACACAGAAGAAAAAAGCTAAGACTCAGTATCCACTAGACTGAAATTTCAAACTGAACTTTTGGACTCCATCTGATGGTTAAGGAATGCTATACTGTACCAGCTTGAGAGGATGTGGGAATATTAAGATGATTCTTTTTTTTGGAGAGGTTTTTGCTAGAGGGGCATGCACTCACCAGACAGAAAGAAACAGAGAGACAGAAAGCAAGAAATCACCCCCTGGGGGGATAGCCACGCTGCAATCCCTTCTCTTCCACTCTCTCAGGATCTTGGGCATGCATGCACACGTGCCCGGCGTGAGATTAAGCTGCTGGATCCAGCACTCGAACCACAGTCAACTTCATGGGAGTCCAGCAACATAGTCATTATGCCAACTGCTGGTCCCAAGATGATTCTAATTTATCTTATTTTTCATACAACTCCTTGTTACATAGAACTATACAGTAATATAGAGTTGTATGCATAGATTCTTGTCACCATAACACTCATTTTTACATGTTTAAAGCAAAAATACTTAGATGGGCAATGTTTATATCTAAAAATAAAAGTTTTAGTATACTTAAATTTTATGAAAAAAATAGGCTAATTATATGTTTTATTTAAAAAGTAATTAATGGTTCAGGGCCAGCCAGTGGCTTCGTGGCTAAAGGAGCTGAATCCCACATGGCCCACTGTATAGTTCAAGTCCCGTACTCAACAGCTTGAAAAACACACTAAGGGAGCCAGCAGGCGGCACAGTAGTTGTGGCACTGAAGTACCATATGGTCAATGGCAGTTCCAGTCCCAGCTTAAAACTCATGCCAAGCACATGTGCATGTGTGCCCAAAATACCAGGAGGAGAATGGAGAAGGGAGTGCAACATAGTCATCCCACTTGGGGTTGATTTCTCACTTTCTCTCTGTGTCTCTGGCAAGCACACACACCACAGAGCAAAAAACTTTTTCTCTAAAAAAGAAAGAAAGAAAAACATACTAAGTGCATAGCGTGCGTGCCAAAAATCCCAAGAGAATAATGGAAAATGAGATGGGATTGTGCTAGGACCATCCCTCTGGGGGGGTGACTTCTTATTTCCCCTCTCTCTTTTTTTGTGTCTCTCTTTGGCAAGTGTATGCATACTACAGCAAAAAGAACTACAACTAATAATAAAAAAACATAAAAAGTAATTGTTAAAATGATGGCTATCTCATCACACCTAATTATATTTAGCAATGAAAAACCTTCTTTGTACACAAAATATACAATACAAACATTAAGCAATTTATTAGCTGAAAATAAAAAATATTCACTTAGTTTCTTCCTTATATACAGAATTACAATAAAAATCAACTTACAGAAGTAAAACATAGACATTAATAAAGTTCAGTGGCCATATGAAATAAATATATAACTCGCTTCACAGGAAAAACATCTACCTGTGGTGGTTCACTTGGAGATCCCAAAGAAGAACAGTTTTCATTTTCATCCACTTTTATCTGTTCATAAGTTCGCTTCCTAGGCTTCTTATCGCCATCTGAATTGAAAGAACATTTACCTTTTAATGAAATAATACACTATAGAGAGATTATGATAAGAAATCAAGATTATATACTTACACAAAGCTTGCTTAAGTTGTTCTAATACATCATTTTCATAAACAGACCTTTCTTCCCAAATAGATAGCACTCTGCCAAGGTGCTTCTTACAACTGTCATCAGTTTCACTAAAGAAAAAAAGTAACAGTAAAAACGCATAGTGCTACTGAAACAATAACAGTGGTTTTAGATACAATCATTTTGGGGCTGGCAGGTAGTGTAGCAGTTAAGGCAATAAACTCCCATATGGCTGACCACAGTTCAAGTCCTGAATCTGGTGGCTTGAAACTGGCCATGTATGTGCGTTCCCAAAATCCCAGAAGGAGAAAGGATTGCCATGTCCCCCCAGGAGATGATTTCTCATTTTCTGTCTGTCTGTTTGGTGAGTGCACATGCCCTATAGCAAAAATCTCTCTCTCTCAAAAATAAATAAATATTCATTCATTCCCTGGAAAAATTTGTTCAATGTTTACTGAGCACCACTAAGTGGCCCATAATTCAGGGGTGAAATGTTCAAGACACATTATCTGCTTCCCTTAAAAAGGTTATATTAGCAACCAAACAAATTACAAAAACTGTGGGAGGTTTTAGTACTGGCTACTAGGTTTACAAAGAGGCTCCTAACCTAATGGGAGCTGAACATGAGGATAGGGGACATTTCTACTTTTTGTTTTTTAATTTCTAATAGGTGACTTTTTATTTTTTAATCTCTCTCTCTTTTTAGAATTATTTTATTTAACTTTATTTATTTATTTTAATTTGACAAGAGAGGGACAGAGAAAGAAAGAGAGAGAAAGAAAGTGAGAAAGCAAGCTGCCAGGTCCGGGACTCGAACCGTGGTTGACGATGTGAGAGTCCAGCACCCTTAACCACTATGCCACCTGATGGCCCTCAATAGGTGACTTTTTAACCTATTCAACAAATATTTATTCATCACTATCTTTAATAATGAGGTGAAATGGAGCTTTAAGGCAGCTGTTATTTGTAAATGCCATCAAAGAAAATAAGGTGCTAAAGGACAAGCAAAGGAGAAAGCTCTGGCCCAGTGTAAGAGAGGTCACAGAGTATCTGAAGAAGTAACATTTACTCTGAGACCTGAAGATTGGATTTACAGGGAAACGGAAACAGACACTTAACCATGCACCTTCTTCATCATTACCACTGTAGTCTGAATCACTATTATCCCTTGCTTGAACATTCTAACCATCTTCTCGCTCAAGTCCTGGCCTCCTACCTGCACTCTATTCTTAAAAATCATACTCCTAGTGTAAGCCAGATCATATTGCTCCCAATCTCCCAAAAGCTACCACGAGGCCCTCATGCTCCTGCTTAGCACCTTCTTTGTGCATATTTCCTAATACCCTGTCCAATACAAACCTCCTTGCTCATCTTCAAACCCTCATAGAGCCATCTCATTCTTCTTGGCCAAGTGTTCTCTCTGGGTAAAATTCTTTCTTCCTAAATAGGCAAATGGCTCCTTTCATAACCCTTCCTTTATTCTGTTCTAATGCCATCACCCCCAAATAGTAGCTCTTTATCTCATCTTGTAATGAGCAGCCTCAGACCCTCTAGGTTCCTTCCTTCCTTTATATTTCTTCATAGCACTTGTTATCTGACACTACAGCACATATCTGTCTACTTATTATCTTTTTCATCCACTGAAATTAAGTTTCACTACAACAGAACTCGGTCTTACTCATTACCACAGCCTTAAGGTCTAACACAAAGCAGTCAACAAATATTTTATTTGTATTCTAGCAGGGGCAACATATATGAAAGCCTTAAGGTCAAAAGAAATTTAAAAGGTTCATTTAGCTTAAACTGAAAACTACAGATTGTGAGTGAGACAGGAATCTGGAAAGACAGGCAGGGTATGGAAGAAAATCTTGTCTTGCTCAGCCCTTTAAGCTGGATCTCTAAGCCAAATGAGAACGTCTCAAAGGTAAGGCAGTACTATGATGAGCTCTGCACCTCTGGCTATGCTTTCCTAAAGGGATTAAACAACCACTATGCCTCCTGTTGGCCCCTTATGTGGACATTTTAATAGAGAGCGAGCTGCCATTAGCTGAAAGAGTGAAACTAACTAAAGGAGTTAAGTTTGGCAAGAAGCAAGGACATAATAAATTCATAATCAAGACACAATGAGTTTGAGAAGTTTGGGAAGCATGCAAGTAAAAATGTCAATTATCAACTGGGCATATAGATCTGGAACAAAGGGAAAAAATCTGGACTGGAAAATAAGATTGAAAGTCACCACAGAGTAGATAATAACTAATAAATGCAGAATATGAAGTCACCCAGAAAACAAGTAAAGAATATGTTCCCATAAGAGGGCCAAAGGACTTCGCTCTAAGAAATAGCAACATCTGAAAAGATAGTAGGAATCTAAATTGAAAGGTAACTACTACTTAAAAAAGGAATATAGAGACATATTTCACACTATGACTTTTTAAAATATGTCTACTGTGACTAATACTTCAGGGCATTGTAGATTTCCATCCTTTTATTATTCAGTACATACTGTCATCATTCACCACTCAATTCATTTAACAGTCTGCCCCTAATAATGTCTATCTAGTAATCTATCAAATACATCTGTACATAACGTTTGAAAGTAAGCATTAAAAAGGGCATATGCCGAGACCAGCAGTTGGCATAATGGCTATGTCGCTGGACTCTCATGCAGTCGACAGTGGTTTGAGTCCCAGACCTGGTAGCTTCAACTCAATTTGGGAACATGTGCACGCATGCCCAATATCCTGAGGAGAATGGAGGAGAAAGCCATCCCCCCGGGGGTGATTTCTCACTTTGTCTCTCTGTCTCCCTCTGTCTTTCTGGCAAGTGCACACGCCCTATAGCAAAAGCTGCCCCCCCCCCTAAAAAAAAAGGTGTATCCAAAGTATAGATTTCTTATCATCTGATTTTTCTGTAACAATTTTTTTTAAAAGAATTATTTTATTTAGGGACCAGCAGTTAGCATAATGGCTATGTAGCTAGACTCCCATGTAGTCGACCAAGGTTCGTGTCCCGGACCCGGTGGCTTAAACTCACGCCGGACGCGTGTGCGTGCATGCCCAAAATCCTGAAAAGAGAGAGGAGGAGAAGAGACTGTGGCATGGCCATCCCCTTTGGGGAGTGATTCCTTGCTTTCTGTCTCTCTGTCTTTCTGGCGAATGCATGTGCCCTATAGCAAAAAACCTCTTTAAAAAAATTTTTTTAATTTTATTTAACTATATTTATTTATTTATTTCAATTTTACCAGAGAGGGACAGAGTGAGAGTGAGAGAGAGAGGGCGAGAGAGAGTGTATCTAAGCTACCAGGTCTAGGACTTGAACCACAGTTGGCCATGTGGGAGTCCAGAGCCCTTAACTACCACGTCACCTGCCAGCCCCTTTGTAACAAAAATTTTAACAGGTTTATGATTATCTTAAATATATATTTTTTTATTTCCAAACTATTTAAAAATGTCATGCCATATACCCCAAACACTATTAAACTTTAAAGTCATTATAAATAGTATGAAGGGAAAGAGTATTAAGTGTATCCAGAAGCGTTAGTTTCAACAGCTTTTGGGTTTTGGTTTGGGGGGAGGGGATTGCTACAGGGTGCATGCACTCCCCAGAGAGAAAAAGGGAAAGGAAAAATAAAAACAAAAGCACACACAAACCCCACCACCACCCCCAGAGGATGACCAAGACACAATCTCTTCTCCTCCACTCTCCTCTTGGAATTTTGGGCATGCATGCATACACACCTGGCATGTTTCTCAAGTCATCTACCTGGCCTGGATCTCAAACCACCAGTCAGCCACATGGGATCCAGTCACCTTAACCATGATGCCACCTGGTTGGCCCTACAATACTGATAGTTTTATAAGCATAGAGATTTTCAATTCAAATCTTCATTCACTCTTAATACATTTCATCCCAATGCAACAATTTTTTTTGTTTCTTTGTTTGATTTTTAAAGAGAGACCAGCAGTTAGCATAATGGCTATGTCACTGGACTCCCATGTAGTCAACCGCGGTTCGCATCCCAGACCCGGTGGCTTAAAACGCACACTGGGCGCGTGTGCATGCATGCCTAGGATCCCGAGAGGAGAATGAAGGAGAAGGGATTGCAGCATGGCCATCCTCCCTGGGGGGTGATTTCTCGCTTTCTGTCTGTCTGTCTCTGTCGGACGAGAGCACGTGTACTATGGCAAAAACCTCTCCAAAAAAAAAAATAAAGGGAGAGAGAGAGAGAGATTTTTGCTATAGGGCATGCGCTTACCAGAGAGACAGAAAGTGAGAAATCACCCCCCCGGGTGGTGGGAGGGGATGGCAACCCACAATCCCTTCTCCTCCATTTTCCTCTCGGGATCTTGGGCATGCATGCCCATGTGCCTGGCCTGAGTTTCAAGCCACCGTGTCCAGGACTTGAACTGCGGTCAACTACATGTGAGTCCGGCAACACAACCATTATCCCATCTGCTGGTCCCCAGCAGTTTCTTTTGATCTCCTAAAGAAACGCTGTAATTCAAGCACTACAGATACTCACCTGAGCAATGGCACCGAAAAATTTTTTCCTTTACCAAAAGCACTTACTAACTATACTTAAAAATACCATTCAGAGGTCTTCTCAAATAAAAAGTTCTGAAGAAATAAATTCCCTGTTTTTTATTTTAATGGCTTGAGGCAAATCTTAGCAAAAAGATATAAGCATTTAAAACACATTATCTCATACCCCACAAAAGGATCATACCTTGAAACATGCTTAAAAGCCTCCACTATAACTGGTGCAAAATCTTTTGTAAACTCCGGCCCCTTCCTTTTGCTGTTCTGAATGACATCATTGGCTAGGTAGAGAAAAGTAAGCTTCCTGTTTGGTTTGGCTGGAAAAAAATAAAAAGAAAATCTACTTAAAATATCCTCAATTTAACTTAGACAAACTTTCTCAATACCTGAATTAAGTAATTTGAGAACCACAATAAACTTACTTTATGTATCACACTCAACCCTAATGATTCAAAATCTTATTAGGCTACTGTAAAACAACAAAAAAGTACAAAATGTAAAATAAGTTGAAAGAGACATCATTTCGATCAATACATATCCTGTTTATGCATTAAGTATTTGCCAAGCCAACAGACTGAATGTGAGAAAAACCAAATGGACAATGTTCTGAGGTTCCCCATTTTGGATTATAAGGCCTTAAATAACCAGATTCATCTTGGCAAAATGTTCCCCTATATTCACTACATTCTGTGGGTATAAGTCATCTTTCCAAAGAAGTACACAAGGTTTCAACAACTGCAGCCCAGAGTGCATTTTTTTAATTGTTATAATATTAAGAACCATAGTATAAAGCATTGAATATAACTCAAACAAGATTCATATACATAAGGAAAAAATCAGTGGTAAACACCATCTTATGTTGACATTTCATAATATAACTTAATTAAAATTAAGCTTGAATCATGTAATGCAGTACAATTATATTCAGAAGCATCATATTATAGCATCAATGGTATAGTATAATGGTATAAGGAGTTTACAATCAGGACTGGTTATCCACTGTACTATTCATATGGGTTAGCTTACTGGGTTTAAGACAAAAAAAAAAAAAAATTTTATTTTTGAGAGGTGTGTGCTATAGGGCATGGGCGCTAGCCAGAAAGACAGGGACAGAGAGACAGAAAGTGAGAAAGAAAGAGTGAGAAAGTAAGCCACCAGGGGGGATGGCCATACCACAATCCTCCATTTTCCTCTTGGGATCTTAGGCACGCACGCACACGCACCTGGCGTGAGTTTAAGCTACTGGGTCCGGGACTTGAACTGCAGTCGACTACATGGTAGTCCAGCAACATAGCCATTATGCCAACGCTGGTCCTAAGACAAAAATCTTGATCAGGCTCTATTTAGTCCTCTAGATTTGTTTATTATTTATTCATTTTAAATTTTCCTCCCTTCCTCTCTTTATGACCAGAGAAGGACAGAGCGAGAGTGAGATCAGGGGAGAGAGAGAGAGAGTGAGAGGGAAAGTGAGAAAGCAAGCTGCCAGGTCCAGGACCTGAATCTTGACTGGCCATGTGGAAGTCTAGCACCCTTAACTACCACACCTGTCAGCCAAGTCCTCTAGATTTAAATATTCAACTGATAAATTTAAGTATTCATTATATTAAAAAGCTACTATTGATTTCACATCTTTCTTGAAGAAAAACTAGAAATCAAGCTTTCTCACAATAAAATATAGAATACTGAATCACAACTGATCAGAATGGACAAACTTGTGGTAATGCCATGTATAACCTAGTCTCTGATCTAAAGTTGTTGTCTCTCACTTCTCATGTTTTTGAAAGTTGCTGGCATAGAAACAAGATAAGGAAGAGATAGCAGTAGCCAGAAACAAGTTTCTGATTCTTCTGGCTCCTTGTTTGGTTAGACATTCACAGAGAATAACTAGTTAAGATAGCAGGATCCTTTCCCATTAAGAAGAAAGGAAGGAAAACTTTCCTAACATTTAACCCTGTCTCTCTTTTTTTTTTTAAATTTAACTTTATTTATTTTTAATATGACTGGGAAGGGAGAGAGCAAGAGAGAGAAAGAGTGAGAAAGTAAGCCGCCAGGTCCAGGACTCGAACTATGGTCAGCCATGTGGGACTCTAGCTCCCTTAACCACCACGCCACCTGCCAACCCCAACCCGTCTCCTTTTTTTAACCTACTCCTACTCCCTCAATTCCATCAATAAAAAAAGGCTGATATTATTTAATCCAGGGTTTTGCCTTCCCAATGTCAAATGAGTAAAAATTCAAATTTTTATTAACTATTTGAAATATTACCTGCAATACTTTTGAGTAAGAACCAGAACCAATGGATTCCTTTTGCTAATAATGATGACACTGACAACTTTTTCTGAGTGCTACATACTACTCTAAGCTCTTCACCTAAATTATCTAATTTAATCCAAGCAGTGTAAGAAACATTATTATCCTCATTTGCAGCTAAACAAACAAGCATAAAAAAGGATATCAGCTGGTGGCATGGTGGTTAAGGCACTGGACACTTCCACATGGCTGACCATGGTTCGAGTTCCGGATCTCGTGACTTGCTTTCTCACTCCCCCTCCCCCATCTCTGTGTGTGTGTGTCTCTCTCTGGCCAAATTAAAATAAATGAACAAACAAATAAAATGAAATAATTCTTTTAAAAATTAAATAATTCTTAAAAAGAAAAATAAAAAAAGCAACATGCCCATGGTGAATCAGCCAGGAAGGGATCATCCAAGATTTGAATCCAAACTAACTGTAAAAATTTACCTATTAACAATTAGACTGTGGCTCCTGTTACCAACAAAAGAGGATGTTACCTTTTGAAAAGATTAAGTATTAGGTCATTGGAAAAGTCATGATGCATTTTGCATACAAAAACATAGAAAAATACATCATGGGGACCAGCAGATGGCCTAGTCTCTGATCTAAAGTTGTTGTCTCTCACTTCTCATGTTTTTGAAAGTTGCTGGCATAGAAACAAGATAAGGAAGAGATAGCAGTAGCCAGAAACAAGTTTCTGATTCTTCTGGCTCCTTGTTTGGTTAGACATTCACAGAGAATAACTAGTTAAGATAGCAGGATCCTTTCCCATTAAGAAGAAAGGAAGGAAAACTTTCCTAACATTTAACCCTGTCTCTCTTTTTTTTTTTAAATTTAACTTTATTTATTTTTAATATGACTGGGAAGGGAGAGAGCAAGAGAGAGAAAGAGTGAGAAAGTAAGCCGCCAGGTCCAGGACTCGAACTATGGTCAGCCATGTGGGACTCTAGCTCCCTTAACCACCACGCCACCTGCCAACCCCAACCCGTCTCCTTTTTTTAACCTACTCCTACTCCCTCAATTCCATCAATAAAAAAAGGCTGATATTATTTAATCCAGGGTTTTGCCTTCCCAATGTCAAATGAGTAAAAATTCAAATTTTTATTAACTATTTGAAATATTACCTGCAATACTTTTGAGTAAGAACCAGAACCAATGGATTCCTTTTGCTAATAATGATGACACTGACAACTTTTTCTGAGTGCTACACACTACTCTAAGCTCTTCACCTAAATTATCTAATTTAATCCAAGCAGTGTAAGAAACATTATTATCCTCATTTGCAGCTAAACAAACAAGCATAAAAAAGGATATCAGCTGGTGGCATGGTGGTTAAGGCACTGGACACTTCCACATGGCTGACCATGGTTCGAGTTCCGGATCTCGTGACTTGCTTTCTCACTCCCCCTCCCCCATCTCTGTGTGTGTGTGTCTCTCTCTGGCCAAATTAAAATAAATGAACAAACAAATAAAATGAAATAATTCTTTTAAAAATTAAATAATTCTTAAAAAGAAAAATAAAAAAAGCAACATGCCCATGGTGAATCAGCCAGGAAGGGATCATCCAAGATTTGAATCCAAACTAACTGTAAAAATTTACCTATTAACAATTAGACTGTGGCTCCTGTTACCAACAAAAGAGGATGTTACCTTTTGAAAAGATTAAGTATTAGGTCATTGGAAAAGTCATGATGCATTTTGCATACAAAAACATAGAAAAATACATCATGGGGACCAGCAGATGGCATAATAATTATGTTGCTGGACTCCCACACAGTCAACCGCAGTTTGATGGCTGGATCCAGTGGCTTAAACCTCACGCCAGGCATATGTGCATGCATGCACAAGATCCCAAGAGGAAAATGGAGAAGGGATTGTGGTATGGCCATCCCCACTGGGGGGTGATTTTTCGCTTTCTGTCTCTCTGAAAAGAAAAAATAAATATATATATATAAAATCATGACTTTTACTTTTCCTACAACCCAACAGTAACTCAAGTCAAAATCTTTTAGAGTGTTAACAGCATTATTCCCATTAGCAAAAAGGTGGAAGCAACTTGCATGCCCAATGATGGGTGAACAGAGACACTAAATGTGATATACACATTCAGTAGAATATTATTTAACCTTAAAAAGGGGGACAAGCAGTTAGCGTAATGGCTATGTCGCTGGACTCCCACATAGTTGACCATGGTTCGCGTCCCGGACCTGGTGGCTTAAAACTCATGCCAGGCGCGTGTGCGTGCATGCCCAAGATCCCAAGAGGAGAATGGAGGAGAAGGGATTGCGGTGTGGCCATCCCCCCCCCGGGGGGTGATTTCTCGCTTTCTGTCTCTCTGTCTGTCTGGGGAGCGCACGCACCCTATGGCAAAAAACTCTAAAAAAAAATTTAAAAAAAAAAAGAAAAGAAAAGAAACCTTAAAAAGGAAAGAAATTCTGAAACTAGTACAATATGGATAAACCTTAAGGATATTATGCCAATTGATGTAACAGAGTCACAAAAAGACACATACTGTATGACTCCACTTATATGAAATACCTAGAGTAGTCAAAATTTATAGAGATGAGAGAGTTAGAAGGGTGATTGCTAGGGGTTAGAAGGAGAGGGAAATGGAAAGTCATTGTTTAATGGGTTTAAGAGTTTCAGTTTTGCAAAAAAAATTATTAAGATGATAAATTTTATGTTACCTATAGTTTAACACAAAAAACTTTTTCAGAGTATTTCTTAAAATCACAGATTACTAATCTCTCAAAAATAACTCATGGGCTGGTTCCAGAGCTTAGTGGTTAAGGGAACTAGATATCACATGGCTGACTGTTGTTCAAACCTGGCTCTGATAACTTGAAAAAACATGCGAGAGGGACCAGCAGTTGGCGTAATGGCTATGTCGCTGGACTCCCACGTAGTAGACTGCAGTTCGTGTCCTGGACCTGGTGGCTTAAAACACACCAGGCGCATGTGCATGCCTGCCCAAGATCCCGAGAGGAGAATGGAGAAGGGATTGCAGTGTGGCCATCCCCCCG